CAGGGCATCACAAATACCAATCAAGAGTCATGGCCTAGGTTGCCAAACAGAAAGCCCAGTCAACATGCAGAAGCATCATAGACTTCTAAATGTCTATGCTATTATTAAGTCCTTCAGCCATTTAAGGTTTTTCAAGACAAAAAGAACTGTATGTATATAGCTATCCATACTGAGCCCTCTTAGAGGTAACTTTGCCCTATACTTTAGTGTGCATGTTTTTGCTGGGTTTTGCTTTGTATCTGTACTGGGGATTGAACTCAGGCCCCAAGCTTTTTCCCCACATGGCCTATACCCAGAGCATGTTCTGTCTTTGACACTAGCAACTTCCTGCCAAGTTTGGTCACCACAGCTGGCTGAAGAAACAGTTGTCTTCATAGTGTGGGAGATATCTTGACTGCTTCCCTGGCCCATGAACTGGCATTTTCTTCAATAACCTTATGAGTTTGGTTTGGAAAGCATCTTTTTTACCTGCATAGGGGGCCTTTTATTTAAATTCTTTTGCTATTATTTTAACAATCCTTTTATAAAATCATCAAAACAACCTCTGTGGAATTATAAGGCAAGTGAAGATATCATTGGAGCACCAGAATTTGGGGGGCTCTTACTGCAAATGCTAACAAACAAACAGAAATTTAACCTCTGCATTTTATTCTGAGAGCTGGACAGCTAGGAAGACAGAGGTTTTATTTTATTTTTGCATTGTGTGTGTGTGTGTGTGTGTGTGTGTGTGTGTAGGAGTGTGGCGTGTATGATATGTGGGAGAATTTGTTCCCCGTGGTGAGCAAACGGGTATCAGAAAATGGCGCGCCTGAACCATGGCTCTGCTTCTACCACGTGGGTTCTGGAGCCGGAAATCAAGTCACCAGACTCAGCTGCCAGAGCCATTACTCATTTTGAGCCATCTTGCTGGCCTGGGAATGACTATCTTTTAAAGATTCTCATCTCCAGTCCGTAGATTTTAGAGGAAGAAAGGATGGAAAAACAATTGCTCCAGAGTCCAGATTTTTGCCTCTGGTCAGCTAATCAGCCCCATCTTGGAGACGTGCGGCATCTGCGCTGCGCCTGTCTCCTTATCAGCCCCTGCACTCTCCCCTCTAACTCTGGGTGCCTGGCTCAGGTGCTTATCGGAACAGTGAATCTAGTTAGTATCTGCTGGTACTGGCTTTGTCCTCTCTCCTCCAGGGCAGCTGAACTGGGGGTGGGGTTAGGTCAGCACAAATAAGCAGTTAGGGCATACCAAACTGTTAATGGTCAAATGGCTGTTCAGATTTCTTTCTATAATATGGAGTCCAAATGTATCATCTAATATAGAATAGTAAAGAGCCCCTGTCTGTCCCTGTCAAAAAATATCACCATATTTGGGTATCCAAAATTGATATATATATATATATGTATATATATTTTATATATATGTATATATATATAATATTTTCATTGATTTTCCAGGTTTGTACAGCAGTGTTTATGAGATGAGTCTGTCCTTATAGTTAATCTCCTATAGACACCTACTTATAACACTGAGCTGGGTGAGGCCTGTTTATACAAGAACAATTACAGAAATCCTGTGACAATACACACACATAAAGGCGGGTCTGTTTTCCTCTTCCATATGCCTGAGCCCTATGCGATTCACCCACCAATCACTTAACGAGGCACATTGACTTCTATGTATACTGTTAGGCTAATGTAACGATTCAGGTGTGACGCACTACACGGAACATATCGGTGCACTTCAGGGCCATGCTTGTAAATGTTGCTGTTTTCCAATCTGTGTTGTCTGTGCCCCGCTCCATTTGTACCCTGATTTCCCAGGAACTCAGTGGATAACTTCTTCATAGTTCAATGAGCCAAATGGCTCCCACGTTTGTGAAGGCATCAGCTTTTGCTGACAGCAGGAGGGCCTGACTTTGTGTCTCATGAAAGCCGTAGGAAGATTGTTAGGGTCTGGATTATTCTGTACTTCCCACGCTTTTGTATCTGTTGGCCCGGCAAGCAGTTGCAAGTGCCCTCTGCTCCTGTGCCAGCCACAAAGTCACACTCCCAAAGCCAGAGCAACTGTCTGTGGAAAAGCTCGTGGCCATTCCTTGTAAGTCGGCACTGTTTTTACCAATCACACCATCCCCCCCGTACCCAGGTTTCAATTCCACCACAGTATTTTTTTTGAGACAGGGTTTCTCTGTAGCTTTGGAGCTTGTCCTAGAAGACAGTATTTTTTTTTCTGTGTGTATGGGTGTTTTGCCTTCATGTATGCCTGTGTACCATGTGTACATCTGTTGCCTGCAAAGGCCAGAAAACGTTGTTGGATCCACTGGAAGTGGAGTTACATATGGTCGTGAGCCATCACATGTGTTCAGAGAATTTAACTCAAGTCCTTGGGAAGAACAGCCAGTGCTCTTAACCTCAGAACTCTCTCTCTCCAGCCCCACCCTCAAGGCTCACACAGTGATCCCATTATCGGGTCCTTTCCTTTCTTTACCCAGACAGTCTATATGAATTTGTATCTCTACCATTGCCTGTTCCTCTTTTGTACCCCAGCTCACCAGTGCCATTGATGTGCCAAACATTTTCAAAGATGCCTGGGATCTGTTCTAGTGCCTTATCTGCCAGGGCTATGTGGTTTAGTCACTGGAAGTGGTCCAGTAGCTTGGAAGGACACCAGTGCCACCATGGCATGTTTGGTATCTGTCAGGATCAGCAGATAAGACTCCACACTGCTGTAAGTGAGTGTCACTTCCACAGAGTCTGAAAAGTTGCCATTCCCAGAAGGGACTTGGCCGGAAGACTTCCTCCTTCGCTATTTAGTTATTCTGTATACAGTGTACTGCCTGCAGGCCAGAAGAGGGCACCAGATCTCATTAGAGATGGTTGTGAGCCACCATGTGAAAATAAAACATATTGAACTCAGGACCTCTGGAAGAGCAGCCTGTGCTCTTAACCTCTGAGCCATCTCTCCAGCCCCGCCCCCACCCGGAAGATGTTCAACACATCTCTTTATGGTGTTTGTTATTTTGCTACTGGAGCAGGTTCAGTGATGAAGCCCACCCGCTGCCGGGTTTTATATATATAACAAGCAATTTCTGCTTCTGTGCTGCCTATGCAGCTCCCACCCCCTTTGCAAGAATGGAAGCCCCCCGAAAAAGCAAAACAAAGCAAAGCAATAATGGAACCCAAACCCTATAAGAAGAACTTGTTTCTGCCATCACCCCCAGCCGTAGCCCTCTGGACTGCAAACAAATGGGCCCTGGGACCCAGGAACGTATAACTATTATTCAGCCTGTGCCACCAGAATCTTATCTGACTCAAAAGCCTCTTGAACCTTTTTGGTCCAATCCCACATGATCCCTCTTCTATCAGATTATATAAAAAACAGGCAACTTGAGCAAGATGGTGGGCAAAAATGTGCCGGCCACGGCGAGTGTCCATACTAAGTTGACGCAAGCTGGGGTGCTTTGGGAAGGGGAACCTCAACTAAGAAAATTACTGTCATGTAGCAGTTTCTTCTGATAGTGAAACATTCTAGCAGGAACCTCAATAATAGCAGGTAAACAACTCAAAATAACTCCAGGAAGCCCCCCAAACTGACCTGATTGACTAGGCCCCTCCGATGCAAGAGGAAACAAGCCAAGCTGCTGTGAGTCCCTCTGAGAGAAGCCGAGCTGCAAAGAAGACTCTGAGAGCAGACCAGCTGCCCGGAAGCAGAAACCAGCCGAGCTGCCTGGAAGACTAGTTTAAAACAACTGAGTCACCTGGAAAGGACACTCTGCAGCCTGTTGAGATGCCTGCAGGCTGTGCAGTGTGCTCCAGGTTCCCAGCTCTGTGAGCTGTCACCCATGCTGGGGTGGGCTTTGGTGATGCAGCTGTCTTTGAGTCAGTTCTGCTCTTATAAGTCACCTCTCATCCATATTCCTGTAACGTCATTAAAACTCATTCAATTAGCGAGTTGGTCTTTGGTGATATCTTAACGTTGGTCTGTCATCGGCTCCCTCTCTGGGGTGAGTGGGCGTGTGTAGTGTCTCCCCAGGAAAAATCTTATCACACAACAATGATCCCACCGTACTGCCCTGTGGGCAGGACTATATTGCATTTTCTTAATTCAGGGTTGCTTCCTGGGCTAGTGGTTCCGAGGGTTTTAAGAAATCAGGCTGAGCATGAAGAGCAAGCCAGTAAACAACACCCATTCACAGCTTCTGCCTCCAGGTTTCTGCCTGTTTGCGTTCCTATTCTGAACTCCTTTGATAACGGACTGTGATGTGGAACTCTAAGTTGGAATAAACCCTTTCCTCCCCAAGTTGCTTTGGCAACCGTGTTTTATTGCAGCCATAGAAGCTCCGACTAAGACAGTTGGTATGTTCAGGGCTCCTAGAAACCCCAACAAGCGGGCCCTCGCGTTACAATACATGTATCTGCTTCCCCTTAATGTTTAGAGACACAAGCGAGAGAGCTGGCTCAGCAGTTGCTGGTTGCCTGTCCAGAAGACCTGATCTTGATTGTCAACACCCAGGTGGTGACTCACGGCACATGGAATTTCAGTTCCAGGGGACCCAATGGCCTCTTTCGGCTTCCATAAGCACCAGGCACACACACGGTCAACAGATGTACACGCAGGCAGTCTTAGTCATTCTTCAGTTGCTGTGACCAAACACCATGACCAAAACAATTTATGAAGGACAAGCTTAATTTTGGCATCGTCGTTCCAGAGGGCTATGATCAGGGGAGCATGGGAACAGAAAGGTGGGGATGGTGGTGGAGTAGTAACTGGGGGTGGGGCTCTCATTTCAATCCATAGGCATGAGGCAGAGAGAGAGAGGGAGAGAGAGAGAGAGCGCGAGAAAGCAGGAACTACACTGGCTTTTGAAACCTCAAAACCAGCTCCCAGTGACACACCTCCTCCAAGGCCACACCTTGTAATCTTTCCTGAAGGCGTAAGTCACAAACAATGCCACACCAATTCGGGGTTATGATTATTAGGGTGGTATTTATTTAAAGGGGAAAAAACTTACAGATCACTGTCCCAGGCAACAGCCCTCTACGCAACCAGGAAAGGAGTCTAGTCGCAGGCGGAGCAGGAAGTGAAGAGAGAGCGGAGAGGGAAGTGGCCGCTTTTTTAAAGGGAGAGAAACCGCGCCCCAGTGGGCTGGTACCTCAGCGGTGATAGGCTGGAGGAGTGGGAGGACCTCCCGCAACACTTTCCCAAACAGTTCTTCAAACTCAGAATCAAATAGTCAAACATAAGAGCCTATGGCGGAGCCAGGCTAGTTCCAGGACAGGATTCAGAGCTACAGAGAAACCCTGTCTCAAAAACAAAAAATAAAAAGAGCCTTTTTTTTTTTTTTTTTTTTTTTTTGGTTTTTCGAGACAGGGTTTCTCTGTGGTTTTGGAGCCTGTCCTGGAACTCCCTTTGTAGACCAGGCTGGCCTCGAACTCACAGAGATCCGCCTGCCTCTGCCTCCCGAGTGCTGGGATTACAGGCGTGCGCCACCACCGCCTGGCTTTTTCTTTTTTTTTCTTTTTTTTGGGGGGGGGATGGGCATTCTTATTCAAACCACCACAAAGGAAAACGCCTATCCACATAAAATAAAAATAAAATTTAAAAATAAATTTAATGACTTTCTCTCACAAGTATTAATGTATATCTTGCCAAACCACAAGAATTCCCCCAAATTTACAGCTGTGCCAGGCCCTTGGACCTTATATAGATTAACATACCATTATTGCTCTTACAGATGTACTTGTATAACCTCCAGACGTTTTTCTAAATCTGTAAAGAGGTTATAACACTGTTTATACAGTGCATTATTTTTCCCAAGAGTGGGAAGGATAATAAAGTGAGGTTCACTATCACACAGCAAGTAGCGGGATTTGTGTGCAGCCATGGGGCAAGCTATGAACTTTGACCGCTATCCATTGCAGGCGAATGTGGACTGGCTGTGGGGTGCAGGGGTTACAGGAATATTAAAAATAAAACATCAACAAGATGTAAAGGAGCACAGGATTCCATCTCTTGTTTTTAGCTGTTCCATCCAAAGAGCCATGTTGGCACAGTCGACAGCGGGTACCACTGTGTTTAGCTCCCTCTAAGCCATAGTCATTCTCCAGGAGCTGGATGGTAGCTTTACCAGTTACCATTATGCCCTCCGCAAGTTACTATCTTTACTGTTTGTGTCTTCAGGATAAATTTTCTGACTTTGAGGTGTAGACTGTTCCTCAGAACCACTTTTAATCCTAGGAGTTTTCCGAGAGGGAAAAGATAAGCAGTATACCCACAAAAGAGCATGGGGGGGGGGGTTCCCGCCCCTAGTTCCGATGGGCTTAGATTTCTTGTGCTCTTTGATCTCCATATCTATTGTCAACTTCCTATTGGCTTACACGAAATACCCACAGATTGATGTGCACTCCATCCCAGTGGCTACCAAATCCCGCGTGGCCTTCACGTTATTAGAAGGCCAACATGCTTGCGGCCCCCTGTGGCACCTCCCGTTGCCCTGTGTGGCTACCCTGTGAGGAATGGTTGGGGGAGTCCCCCTGTATAAGATCGCTCGATTCCAGCACAAGAAGGACGCCATCAGAAGGATATGCACCTTCGAATCTTTCCTGCCTTGGGGAGACTTACTAAGACAGCATTGAGTTTTCTACCAGTGCTTCCTGAGCACACCAGCATGGCACAGGTCCCACTGTGTGCCCTTCCTGCTTGCTAGAATGGGTAGCTCTTGGTGTTTCCTGCTTTTCGTGTCCTTTTGGCCGCCTTCAGACTGCAGCCTTGGTTTGTGCAGTGGTTCGTTTGGAGGAAAAGACCTGGTCAGTTGTCCTCATCAGCTTAGACCAGGAAACCCGATATGGACAAGTTCAACAGAACTGCAATATACGGGCTGCCCATGCAGACTTCAGCATTGCCAGTGCATAAATTTCATTCATTTTCATTCATGTCATTTGGGTTGGAGAGAACTTCCCGCACCCCAAAGATCTTGTGTTCTCTTTAATATGGAACCTAATAAAGCCACTAGGGACCAAAACCTCCTCTGGGGTCCCGTTGCATTAAATATTGGGAGGGGGGTCTTAGTAATCACAGTTCTATCTAGCCTGGTAAATTGGCATCAAAAGCTGCCTCCTACATCCGCAGCTCTCATAACATCACCTGATCCTCCAATGGCTTTCTAATCGCTATAATTTATTGATACGTTGGCAGGCAGCATTCAAGTCTTGCTAATGGCCCACGTGAGCCAGTCCTCAAGGAGCAAGTGATTTCTTTCATACAGTGGGAGGTTCTGCAGACACGGACAGGGAAAAAAGGAGGGCTCGTTATGCTTCTTAGTCCCATTGCCGGTAATGTGCTGAAGGCTGATTCATATTCACGTCCATATGCCAGAGCCTCGCGAACCAATTACTAATGACTTCCTTCCTAGGCCTGCTGAAAACCTTTTCTCAATTCAAACAGCTCGGAATCCGCATATTCCCTAATGACCAAGGTTTCTTAACGAGGGCCACTGTCAGTTTCTTTGTCTCCATGGTAAATTGTGATCTTTTCTCTTCTTCTGTTCCCAGAGTTGGATTTGGTGTGCGGGAACAGATAGCATCCACACCTTTACCTCACCATTTTCCGCTTTACTACCCAGTTTTTTCCGTGCACCTTAGGGCTTGGTCCCAGGGACAAGGGCTTTGTTTGGTTTTGTCTTTTTCACTCATGTCCCATTTGTTCCATAGTCACGAGCGACATTTCAACATCTCCATTTCACCCTGCGTTTTTATCTCATTCTCTTGTCTGCTCAGACGAATGTGGAGGACACCCCTCGCCTCGCATGTTGCTAGGGGATCTCCTTTAAGCTAGTGACGCTGAGGCTGAGCAAATCGTATTTCTTTTTTTTTTTTAAAAAAAATTATGGTTTATTTAACTTTATTTTATGTGCATTGGTGTGAAGGTGTCAGATCCCCTGCAACTGGATCTTTAGACAGTTGTGAGCTGCCATGCGGTTGCTGGGAATTGAACCTGGATCCTCTGGAAGAGCAGTCAGTACTGTTAACCACTGAGCCATTTCTCCAGCCCCGCAAATCGTATTTCCTACAAAAGGGGCCGTGGGACTGCAGTGCCGGCTCTCCGCCAGTTCCACACGTGCTGTGGCCAGGCCTACCTGTCCATTCCCTCTTCCCCTAAGCACGCACAGCAGAGCACACTCATCAAGGAGGCCCTCTATCCCAGGACTGTCTGGAGGATGACGTCTACTCGCTGGCATGTCCCCTGCAGGGGCTCCACCCTGCCTCATTTTGGATCTGTGTGCTGGAGTCCCTGTTCAGGTGACAGCCGCCGTGTTAGTTTCCTAGGGAAGCAGAGAAGAATTGCCTGCCTTCCCATTGACAGTTCTAAGCTTAGGCAACGCTGGGGAGAGGGCAGAAGCAAACAAGGCCCGCAGTGGATCTCTATGTTTGGGTGTAGTCTGACCTTTCCCTTACTGAAGATGTTGGACGTCTCAGTAAACACCGTCAGACTGTGGGCTTTAGAACACGGAATGATATCCTGGCGGTCTGCTGGAAACGGGCTACTTTGGCTAAAATCTGGAACATTATTCTCCCTTTACCATGTCTGTAAAAGTACAAATATTATAGAAAGGAAACAGTTTGAGATAATAGTAGGTGACAAGGAAGGCCTGAACATAGGCAAAAGGATACCTGAGTCATAAAAGGGGAGGGAAAAGGTTTTTGTTTTTGTTTTTTTTTTCCTAGTTTCAACTCTGTGCTGGATAGATTTAGGCAAATTTGTCAAACTGTAGTCATCTGAGAGGAAGGAGCTTAAATTGAGAAAATACCCCCATAAGATCAGGTTTTGAGCCAGCCTGTAGGGCATTTTCTAAATTAGCAATTGATGTGGGAGGGCCCAGCCCATTGTATGTGGTGCCGTCCCTTGACTGGTGGTCCTGGGTTTTATAAGAACGCAGGCTGAACAGCTGTCGGGGGATAGATAGACATTTCCGTGGTTAAAGTACCGATTGCTTTTGGAGAGGATCCAGGTTCGGTTTTCAATCTATATGTGGTGGCTCACAAAACTCATGGCAACTCACCACCACCCTTATCTCCAATTCTAGGGGTTATGATGCCCTCTTCTGGCCTTCTTGGGTACTGCACCATGCGGGCAAAACATCCACACATAAAAATCAATGCATCTTTTTTAAAGTTTTAAAAACTGAAGTTTTCAACTCGTGTCTATTTCCAGAGGGATAATTATCCACGATGTTATGTAATTATGAGGCTAGAGGTGGTAGGAAGAGTTTTGAGCTCATATCTCAAACCAAAATCAGGAAGCAGAGAGAGCAAACTCGAAATAGCTCCAGTCTTTTAAGACTCAAAGGCTGGCCTCAGGAACACACTTCCTTCAACAAGGCCACATCTCCTAAGTTTTCCCAAGCAGCACCACCAATCAGAGTCCAAGAATTTAAATGCCCAAGATGTTGAGGAACATTTCTGACTCAGGCTATCCCAGATGAGTGTAAGGGGTGCACGCATTTGTGCACAGTGGCCAGAAGGAAACTCCCGCGGCCTTGTCCTCTCACATCCCACCTTATTCCCCGGAGACAGGCTCTCTCGTTCAACCTGGGGCTAGGCGGACAACCAGAAAGCCTGAGTGGTCCTCTCGTCTCCATGCACCTGCTATCCCCAGAGTGCTTGAGTTACATGGCTGGAAAGGCCCTGATTCTTTTTTAACTTTTATTTATTTATTATGTATACAGTATTCTGTCTGCTTGTATGCCTACAGTGAAGGAGGGGACACCAGATCTCATTATAGATGGCTGTGGGTACTGGGAATTGAACTCGGGACCTCTGGAAGAGCAGGCAGTGCTCTTAACACTGAGCCATCTCTCCAGCCCTAGGGCCTGATTCTTATGTGTATGCTGGGGACTTGAACTCAGGTCCTCATGGTGGTATAGCAAGAGTTCTTATCCACTGAGCAATCTCCCCAGGCCCCAAAAGTTGTATTTCTTCATCACATTGTCAGAAGGACCCTTTTTCTTGTAAAATATTCATAGTCTACCATGCTAAGATTTGCATATATTTTTAAACAACTCCCAAGACATC